TTTGATATTGCAATTGCAAGTTTGACGATTTTAAGACTATAACAACGATGAATGGCACATTCTTTTCCTACTTTGATCTGGAAGTACAAAGTCCATTAGGGTGCTTGCACCCTAGTAGAATGTAATGTCAGCAACCTACATGTAACTTCCGAATAGTTAATGCTAGGCTAAACTTCCATCTAACAGCATGAAAGCAAAAGCTGACACCATCTGTCAGACCCTAGCTATTCTCCAAAAAAGCTTAAATCGTCCTGTTTTCATGCATGCGCAGGAGCCCCGTACACCTAAAGCTTACGTATACATAGCTTACTCTTTAGACCTGGTCGTACTACATTACATCTACACACGGGCGTGTCGTGTAACCCACCAACACTTCAAGATCAACTCTGTGCAACATATATACGCAGGTAGTGTAAGTTCATAAGTAGTACCTACCTTATGCATCGTTACGCATTGGGAATAGTATCAATGTGGCTACAATCACAATATCGATGGAACAAAAAATAAGAAAAAGCTTGGTTGGAATTGGCACCCTTGTAGGGTTGAGCCAAACGTAGTGGTATACTGCATACATTCTGCGGGTTTTGCAAGGTAATATAGTGATCACATGATATCAGATTTTAGGATCAAATGGTGAAATAATTTGCAATTGGGAGAATGGAATCCTCAAAACTAAGTTCCTCTGAGCGCCTTCTGGTGAACTAAACGACAAACATACCCCCCAGCTCTAGACTTATAAAAATCAAGAATCAAAAAATCAAGAAGCTAACGCCAAACCACAATACAGCTCATTTAAAGCTCCTAGAAACCAAAACTCGATGTCGGAAAACCAAATACTAAAAAGTTATACTCATACAAGGCCATCGACCATTGACCACGGCTCTCGCTGCATTATCCCCGGAAGCCATACTTTCGTCTTGTAGATAAACAGATGATGTAAAAACCGGCTTATCTTATATGCACCCTCCACAGTTCGACTATCACCGATAGGATGTGGTCCAAAGACTCTACGAGAATAACCTCTTCGAGCTTGGACTTTGGCGTCGTCCTCGCCACTCGGGGTCGCAAATACAATTGTGTAAGACCAATTATACGAAGCGACTTGGATACCAATGACGTGGTCGATACCTATCTGAACTGGCGAAGTTTGGGAGATAGAGGAGTCTGGGTTTGGAAGCGCTCGTTCTATGGTTGGGTATTCCAGAAAATTGGTGGGATTCGTAGACAACTGTTCGGCCTCGGTTGTTTGAGCAAGGTAACCGGGTAATGGTGCAGGGTTATATGGTGCTACTTGACCCAAACACCTCCATGACTCGAGTATTGTGTTGGCACAAATAGCCGTTTGGTTCTCCGCCTCTAAAGAACTACCATCCAACGACTTCGCCTCCAGCGTAATAATCGGTGGTTCTGTAAAGTTTTTGAACGGCGGGATGTAAGCTTCAAACCCGAACTTGTCGTCCATGGCCGCGAATAAAGCACTGGTTTGGCCACAATCACGGATGAGAACAGTTATATCTGCTCTGGCGGTCATTACTCCTTCCGATATCCGGGAACTAGTGCTTGCCGACGTAGTAGTTCCTGAACGCCCTCTCTGTTTCTTACGGGGAGAGCTGGACCGACTACGTGCTGCATGCCTGGTTCTTGGGCAAAACTCCCGTACCAGATCGACAGAAGTACTATATGTCGTCATTTGTAAGTATTTCCGTCGGAAAAGGGGAAATGCTGACTGGAACTTACACTCCGTTGACATGTAATGGTAATTTTGGCCGAGCAATTACTGAGTTGAGAATCGTCTTCGAATGTGCTACCCAGTCGTTTTCTTCGGTAGTATCCACATGCATATCATTTGACTCCGTAACCCATTCAATTATGGATTTGGCCTCGGCGAGATGTTGTTTGTGGGTTTGGTCGTCACAGTCTATATCCGAGAATGTTATATCCTCCCAGTGCAGCGTTGGCTCGTACTCAAGAATTACATCCTAGAAAGGTCAGCAGATATTCGACACTCTAGGTTTTCGAAGTAGCAATATACCTTTACACACTGGCAAATCATTCCTTTTGGTGACATTGATCTAGAGAACCCTCGGGCTAATTTTCGAATGCTCATGGGGACCCAGTCATTGATATCGTCGGATACATCGAGACCCGCCCGGCCAGACAAGCCAAGAAATTTGAAGTTTGGTGTACTTGTAGCAAGTAGTTTCCTTTTAGATTTCGAACTTGGGGCCGCTGCTGAGGCGGTAGAATACGAAGTTGCTGATGGGGCCCATGATTTAGTGGGCGATGTGCTTGTCGAGTCGATAGAAAGGTTGCGAATGCCCGTCGCTGAATGTATAGCCAGATCAATTTCGACCTGCGATATACTGTCCGATGGTATCGCATCCTCCAGGCCCTCCGCAAAAGCCAGTGTCGACGCCGGAGCCGGGTAGACTCGGTGGAAGTGTTTTCGCTTTTGTAATGTTAGTCGGTCATCGCCAGTATCCGACATCTCTGAGAATGCTCGTTTCCTAGAAACCCCTTGCCCACTGGTCGGCGATATCGCAGTTTTTACGGCAGGCTCTGTCGCTGCGTATTCTTGAAGTTGAGTAGACCTGATCCAAGCCGACACACGATCGAACAAATCTGTCGAAGAGATTTGGTGAATGGCCTCCATATATCCTGTGGGCAACACTCCTGTCGAGAGGAAGAGGGAGTTATGTAGGGGAAAACTTTCAGAGTTTGGCGTGCGGGGTAAGCTCTATTAATCAGGCTTCCATGTAAAGATGTCTACGTGTGCTCGTGCTTATTGGATCCAAAGCTACTCCTAGAATAGTCCATAACTAGTATTTGCATCAGTCCCTTGTCGGGTTGCCAGTTGTGGTGTTGATTGTTTCTTTGTTTAGGTTACACGGCGCAAGTGTTGCTATGGAACCGTCGCAGCAATATTGGCACCAAACCAAGTTTGTCGATTATCACGTGACATCTCTTCGAAAATGCAACATCTTATCAGATCGATCAAGAGCATCACGGCGACCGGCTTCCGCCCGTCTTTGGCCTTTCGCAGTTCCTTCCCAGTCCGGGACGTTGAGAAATGACAGCCAATCGCGTTGATTCCATATGCCACCCACAAGCTCAAAGCCAGTCCTCCCCACACCAACAAAAAATAAACCGCGGTCAAGGCAATCAATGATATCAGAATTTCAATGTGATACCGATTGGGCTACAAATTTGTGTGCCTTTCGTTTCTGTCCTGTGTTCTCAACCTTTGTAAATTAACAGGTCTGATCAGACAGCTCAGCTATCATCACCGCAAAGCCTAGTTGATAATCTCATACCATTCATCAAACCTCTCGAGGCTCTAAAGCTCACATTGAAGCTCTTTAGCTACAGAATAATTAAAATTAGAGACACGATGTCCTTCAAAAGGTACCAGTACCATATGCATTGGCCTTCCTCGATATCAGACGGCGTATATGCAAGATATACGGATAAAGTATACTAGGTATCCAGTACTAACAACGTGGTAGCCACCCCGTCCATCCGGCTCTCGTCCACTTCCCCATCGCCTTTCTTACCTTCTGTCACTCAATCGACATCCTCCACTACCTCGCCACAAACTTCTCCATCCCCTTCCTCTCGGATCTCTCTCCTCTCTTCCCACAGCTTCTCTCCACCTCTCGTCTGCTTCATACTCTCGGAATCTTCACCGCAATCCCAGCTATCATAACAGGAATCGCCCAAGCAGCAGCTCAAGCCGCCAAACCCGGGAATCTCTACGAGGCAGATGGAAAAACTATCAAGAAGAAGTTTTATGTAATGGCTACTCATGCTGCGCTTAATGACTTTTGCATCATTGTCAGCGGTATTAGTTGGTGGGGGAGGTATAAGGCTCATGGGATCTTTGGAGCTGCGGAACCTGGTGTCAACGAGGTGGGGGTTGCTGGGGTGGTTTTGCCGGTGATATTGTTTGCAGCCAGCCTCGGTGGGGATCTGGTTTACAAGTACGGTATGGGATTTTCAGCAGCTAAAAGTACGAAGAAGGATCAGTAGGTTCGTATAATGGGAAATGGTGAAGGAAGTATGATCACGTTTGCATAAGCTCTGAGGTGGAGGGCGATGACAGAGAATATCTTTTCTTGACTGTATCACCGTATGTATGCCCTTTATAGTAGAATCGTACTGTCGATCATTGTTAGACGCCCCGAGGCCAGTTAGACGTAGAAGCTTTAAAGATTCGGGTCAACGATGTAAATTTATCCATATTTCGGTCTCGTAGTATCCACATTGTATTTTAAACGCCGTGACACAGCCAGCTATCTGTATAATCATCGTGAATTGCTGTGGACCTTCCAACTGACACCTGTTAGGAATACATATAGCTTGAAAATAAAAACGGTGATGAATAAATTGTCTCGAACCTAACCTCCCGCAGGTGCAAACCAACGGTCAGGGAGGTATATTGGAATATAAATAGGTACTAGGTACCTAGGTACTTATTAATATATTTGTGCAAATTAATAGCGGCAGTTACGTGATCAACAGCATCTGAGACCGAGACTAGTTAGTTACCTTAGGTAATAGTAACCCGAAGTTGTCCCCGGTCTACTCGGCCGTTCGAGAGTTGATTAGGCCCGGTCTCGTTGATTAGGCCCGATTCTTTTGGTTTGCTTCATGAATTCAGATCATAGACCAACGAGACCAGATCTTAGACTTTGACTTTAGATTGTCACTAGTATACCTCCACCACCACCAAATGTAAACCCATAAGCTAGGTAATTGGTTGGAGGATCATAGTCGGACACTTACTCAGCCCCGAGTAGCTAAAGGACGCCCACTTAAGGGATTGAGTCTATACCCAAGTGTCTATTTGAGTACGTTCTATCAAAAGGAATAAAAATACATTTTATTTTCAACCTCTGAACCACGCGACGGGCTTTAGATGGACAGAACACCTATCGATCGTATACCAAATCCTTTTCAATTCACTTGAACTATCCAAAAAAAAAAAAAAATGAATGCGTGGGCCTCAATAGGACTTGAACCTATAACTTCCCGATCTTCATGATGTCCGGGACGCGCTAAACCAATTACACCATAAAGCCATTTTACCATTAAATTTATCGAAGATAAGTATAGGTTTTATACTATAATATAGCATTAGTGATACCTCAGCATCTGTTCTGTACAGGATTTTTGTGAAGGGCCTTAAGGAAGGATCCAAGTTCCCAAAAAAGTATGTGTTCTGGCTCTTACCAATGCAAAAAAGAGAAACTACAAAAGTAGGTGAGTGTGCGGGCCCCAATAGGATTTGAACCTATATCTCCCCAATGAGTATTAACTTTGGTTAATGAGCGTGGGATGTGATAACCAATTACACTAAAGGGCCTTTCCTGTGTGATATCTAATATCATGCATCCAGTACTTGTTCTCAACATATTTCTGGCGACTACCTTCTGCAGTAGAAATGTATGCAGCGTTGACTTGCATATGCAGCAAAAAGAAAACAGCAAGGGAAAAAGAATGAAAAAAAAAAAGACCTATAGAGGCCTAATATCATGTCAGGCCAGCCGGATTCCAAAAAAGGAGTCATTGGTACCTTCGAAAAGCCAAAAATATGATAAGGGTGGCATGGGCCCCGACAGGAGTTGAACCTGTATCTCCCGTCAAGCCTAATCCATTCAAGTATAACAGTAGTGCTAGCCAATTGCACCACGGGGCCTCTTTGCTACGAATACCAATCGTAAAAAAAGCGATTATGTGCTGCGGTGGGGTGATGGTTCGCTAAGAGCGAAACCGAGTATAAGTCAACGAAGGGTGCCTGAGGTGTGCCTGAGGCAGCCATGTATGGATTGGATATGATGTCAGGTGGGGTGGGATGCTGTATTAGAATAAATGTAACACAGAACTAGAAATACTTAATAACCTAATATCAGAAACGTTGTTCAGTTCAATTGATCGGTTGGCTAGCTGCAATTTAATATAAGAGCTGCAAGTCTAGTTGGATCAAAAGTTGACAGTGAGGTAAGGATCATGCGAGGTGTTGAGTTTTCCAATTAGATACCCTCAGCGTCTGCAGGAAGATTCATGTCGATGCGGAAAAGTTTCAAGATAAGCAAGTGGACATGTGATTCCGAAATGCAAAGACCAGGTCATCCCATTGATGGGATAGCGACCTGCGTGGATACTTAAGTATAGAATGCGGGGGAGTCTAGGTCTCGACCTGGCTGCAGTGGGGAGTTCCGGAGTCCAGCATTTGTGGTATTCTGCGGTCCAGCGTTACATGCTGCGTTGCGACCATAACCTTGGACCCGACTGCCTGCCGCTGCTGTGCAACCTACTGCCATCAAGAGACTTCGAAGGGTTATATCGAAAAAAGCCACCAACCATTGCCACCACTCCAAGCATCATGTCAGCAGCCACATTTTCTGGGAAGCTTGTTACGCTAACATTATAATTCAAAGTTTAGGAAGCCACCTTTCAGCCTGAAGCAGTTGAATGTTGGTTCAGGCAGGAAACAGGCCCGCTGTCGCCTCTGGATCCAAAGCCACAGCAAGCGAATTGCCACGGCCACCCCTGTCATATGCCGCAGAACACCCATCCAAGTCTACCCCATCGTGTCGCTGGGAATACCCTGCGAGTAGTTTCCTGTGCCGTCCCTTGCCTGAGAGATCCCTTTTTTCGCCGACAGGGATTTGGTCAGCAGAATGGCGGCATTGTTATCACAAGAAAGATACGGGTCCGGGTTCGTCTGAAATATTCCCCATACTCGGATGAATATGGAACGTCCTTCCTTTTGCTTTTGTCAACAATTGCTTCCAAGGTCATATGCCGGGCTAATGCGTATGCTATGCAATGTGCGAAAGGGAAAGACAGAAGAAAAAATAAAAAAAATTCAACATATCTGCTGACGAATGTTGAAGTCAGGGACAAGACAGATATAGACGGATTCCCCGAGGTCTGCATACATATGTACGAAATCTCTTTTTTTATACAAAAAGAGAACAGAAGATCAGGCGACCACCATGAGATCGAAAGAGAAGAGAGCCGCCAGTTCAGCAACATCTGTCGGCGTATCAGTGGTGGAACGGTCCACAGAAGCTAGAAAATGTCTTTCGAACTTTTTCTGGATCATAGAAAGGCATTCCTTTCGGCGTCCCCCTTGTGCCTTGGAGCCTTTCGTTTGGCCGCGCGAATGCTTCGAGAACAACACATCCGGGCGATTTTATGCATGTGCACGGTGGTCCCAGATGCAAAGGGAATATGCGGAGTCAATCACCTTGCATGAAAGGGGAGACCACCTTTTACATCTGAGGGCACGGAGGCCGACTGGGGTAAAAAGCATGCACTTGATCAATTGATCAATCGATACCAGAATTAAGGAATGCTTTATGATGAAGACAGGACGATTGTTGGTTCCTTTAGGGTTCGTATATGCATGATGAAGACAGGAGGCCCTCCGGTTTCTTCACGACTCCGAAAGCTTGCAAGCTTGCTTGCATTTTAAAAAGAAATTCACGGTCGAAGACCTGTCTTGAATTGTTGTCTTCAGTTTCTATATTTGGCGCCCCATGCATCATCCCCAACTTTTGATAGATTGGGTATTGATTCGTTTGTCGACGTTGTTCTTCTTCTCTAGACCGGTGAACTCCTGTCTTGGGGAGAGGTCAAAACGTCCGTCCTCCTTTGGAAATATGGCGGCTCACGAGGGTTTATTGCTCAAAAGCACGGATGTTTAGATGTCAATGCACTGAACGGGACCTTCTGAAACCTTCGAGAAAAAAAGGAAAACGGCTCCACAAAACGACATCGTGGGCGGCTGCAATACGGGACATCAATCTGGAACGTGATATTAGATATCTAGATCATTTGGGTTGCAGGTCCACAGGGTTTGCTCGTGTTGTTCAAGTGGGCGTTCAGTTGACTGAGGGGATGGGCCAACTAGCACAGATCGAGTAGTACACAGGAGAACCGGAAAAGATATACTGTGCTAGCTTCCTGTTCAGACCAGATGGCCGGCCGGCCTTCGTTGAGAACAGCCATTTAGGCGGCTTCTGGTTGTTAACATCAGTGACAGGGTCTCCTGTCCACCGTCCGTGAATTTCGAGAAAAAACACAATTGATCATCACGACGGAAGGGAAAAAAAAAAAAAAACTTCCAGAGGAAAAATTACAAGGTGCTCGTTCGCGACTGTGGTCGGCTGGGTTGACAGGAGAGGTACTGCTAGCCTCGAGGTACCTGTTTTTGATTTCAAATTCAGAGCCTTTACGTTTGAGAGACCTTGCCAGTTATGCTATACTAGCTGCAGCTGTAGGTACTTGGTGAGCAGAGATATGCGGGTACCTGACATCGAAAAGTACCTTACGTCTACGTTATCACGCTATAGCATATTCTTTCCTAGAGACAGAAACCGGATTTTGCAGGTGTCTCTGAAGGGAAGGAATGCAAAGCAGAAACAAAAAGCAGGAACTTATCGAGACAAGGAACCCAAGACTGTTGCTGACGAGTGACCGATACATGTTGACGGTGAAATCCTTAGGATTGAGTCGATTCAAGACAGCGCACTGCCATCCAACCTGCTTCTGACCTGTTAACGTCGACCGCATAAACCCCAGCGATCTTCTAAGCGGCAGTCCCTGCAACGGCAGAGTTGGAGTTACCGTCGGCTCCCCTGCTATGTTCTCCAACTTTCAACGGCTAGAATCATCTACCTAGCTCTCCGACAAGAGCTCTCAGTGGCAGGTTGCGGGTTTTTTCTTTTGATTTTTGTTTTTGCCTCAAGGTAGACGGACGACTTTGGACAGTTCTTGGTTCCGGCTAGTCGCAATCCTACAGTCGAGGTCGACACATTCTTTTTTTGAGGGTTAGGCCGTTTTCGACCTCACTGTCTGGACCCCGAACGGACGACTTGCATTGACCACTCAAGCTCATTCGCTGTACCTGCTGCTGTCTGTACCTGCCTTATCACCAGCACTACTATTTTCAGCAGCCAGGAACAAACCAAAGGCACTTGGATCCGATCCTGCTATAATAGGACATCTCAATACAACCGAAAAAAGTGGACCGCATCTTTTTTTCCCTCTCACTATCAATTGTACTCCGCTGCTGTGAAACATTTCCGTGCCGAAGGAAACTATACAACCTATCTCAGGAATCCGAAGGCAAAGCGAGGAGAGAGGGGCATATTCGGTTTTGGCTTTTCGGTTGACCGCCTCCTCTCTTTGGAGACCTTAGTTGATCCTGCTTTTACCTTTCCGAAGAGATACGACGACGTCGTCGACTAAACTATACTCCGGGCTATATTCACCCCTCACATGCAACTGCAGCTGGTCTTGCAACATCACATCCATCCATCCTAGACCGGACAGCCGTGCCTGCCCCAATCAACGGTGAGTGCCGTCGTCGACACCTTTTTTTTTTTTTTTCTTCTCTCAACCCGACAGTTTGGGGATTTGCTTGCATTCCCGTTTGAATTATAATTTTTCCATCCATGGGAAAAACAACAGCCTTATCCTGACGGTGAGGGATAATACTGGTACTCAACCTTCCACTGTGCCTCCTCCGCTTCTCATCGGCGGGCCTTTCTGCAGACCTACCTCCTTCGACGGTTTAAAGACATTTACGTTTATCCTGCTGTGGCTTTTATTCTCCCCATTCCCGTTTCCTTCTTCCTTTCTTTCCCCCTTCTTTCCCTTCTCCTCTGCCTCCCGACTTTTAACCTTTTTCCCACCTCAGATTGTTTGTTTTCTCCTCCGCCTTCGTCTTTTATACTTTTCCCGCTCGCCTAAGCCAGGGGTGAAGGGTGCACGTTATCCGTTCCTTGCTCGCTCCAGCCTGAACAGAAAAAAGTTGCGTTCAGAACCTCCCGCCCGAGTTACTTCGAGCCAGAAAGCCAGATATCGAGGCTGTTCTCTCGCCCTAGCAGACAGATCCGGCGAGGCCACTCCTGCCCATAGACGAGGATCCTCTAAGGTTATTACTCTGTTGAGCGTCTACAGCTGGGTGCAAGGCAAAGCTATTGCAAAGGGCTAAGGGTGGGGTGGTCCGTACGGCCGTTCATGTGAGACCAGCTCCCTCTCCTTCCAGCCCCCAATCCATATCCACCCATCCACATCCCGTCCGTTTTCTGCATTCCCTGCCGGGCATCTTTTGAGATCTGTTCCTGAACACAACCATATCTACCTCCATCTCGCACCCTTTTCTCCTGTGAACCTTACCCCATACTTCTCCTGTCTGCTAGGATTTTGGTGTTTTGATTTTTTTGACATTTGAGGCTTTTTAGTCGTTTCGGGATCTTGCTTTCGTCCTTTTTTTTTTATCGCTCAGTAGCCCAGCCCAGCCCATCATCCGCCCTGCGGTGCACCGCCTGTCTGCATAATCTGCGAATG